CCTCCGTCCGCCTCGCCCTCGCCGCCGCCTCCGTCCGCATCGCCGTCGCCGCCGCCTCCGTCCGCGTCACCATCGCCGCCGCCTCCCTCCGCCTCTCCCTCCCCGCCACCTCCTTCCGCGTCGCCGTCGCCACCGCCTCCATCCGCCTCTCCCTCCCCGCCGCTGTCCGCCTCGCCGTCGCCGCCGCCGCCTCTGCCGCCGCCTCCCTCCGCCCTGCCTGCGCCGCCGCCGTCCGCCTCGCCGTCGCCGCCGCCGCCTGACGTGCAGCTGCTCGACCTCCGCGCCGCCACCACGTACCAGGACTCGAGCTTGTTCGACAAGCAGGCGCCCGTGAGCGACCTGTCATACGCCGACAGCACGACGGGACGGCCGTGGGCCGAGTGCGGCCAATACACAAGCCAATGGTGGGGCGTCGACCTCGGGAGCGAGGTGTATGTGCGCTACGTGCGGCTGCAGAACCGCAACGACTGCTGCGCGGAGCGGCTGACGGACGTCGACATCTATCTCGGCTCGACGGCGGAGACGTACACGGGCAACGCGCTGGTGAAGTCAGACGTGAGCGTGTTGTCGAACGTGATGTTGGAGGTGGAGATCAACGCGTTGGGGCGCTACATCTACCTCAACCGGCCGTCTGCGGCGGGGCTGACGGTGTGCAAGTTCTACGTCTTCGCTTCGCCCGCGCCGCCGCCGTCACCATCACCGCCTCCACCGCCGCCGCCTCCCTCCGCCTCGCCCTCGCCGCCGCCTCCCTCGGCATCACCCTCGCCGCCGCCTCCCTCCGCCTCACCGTCGCCCCCGCCGTCGCCGCTTCCTCCGCCGCCATCGCCGCCGCCGCCATCGCCGCCGCCGTCGCCGCTTCCTCCGCCGCCATCGCCGCCGCCGCCGCCATCACCACCGCCGCCGTCGCCGCCGCCGTCGCCGCCACCGCCGCTTCCACCGCCGCCGTTATCGCCGCCGCCGCCGCTTCCTCCGCCGCCATCGCCCCCGCCGCCGTCCGTCTCGCCCTCGCCGCCGCCGCCCTCAGCATCGCCGTCGCCCCCGCCGCCCTCAGCATCGCCGTCGCCCCCGCCGCCATCCGTGTCGCCGTCGCCGCCGCCTCCCTCGGCATCGCCCTCGCCCCCGCCGCCGCCCGCCTCACCATCGCCACCGCCTCCGTCCGCGTCGCCCTCGCCGCCGCCTCCTTCCGCCTCGCCGTCGCCGCCGCCGCCGTCCGCCTCGCCCTCTCCGCCGCCGCCCTCAGCATCGCCGTCGCCCCCGCCGCCCCCAGCATCGCCGTCACCGCCGCCGGCATCCTTGTCGCCGTCGCCGCCGCCTCCCTCGGCATCGCCCTCGCCGCCGCCGCCGTCAGCCTCGCCATCGCCGCCGCCTCCCTCGACCTCGCCGTCACCACCGCCTCCGTCCGCCTCGCCCTCGCCGCCGCCTCCCTCCACCTCACCGTCACCACCGCCTCCGTCTCCACCCCCGCCCTCGCCGCCGCCTCCCTCCACCTCACCGTCACCACCGCCTCCGTCTCCACCCCCGCCCTCGCCGCCGCCTCCCTCCTCGTCGCCGTCCCCGCCTCCCCCGTCTTTGCCTGATCCATGCTCAGTAGATCGGACCTTGATGGCCCCGATCGACTTCCTTTCCAGCAACGTATTGTACAACAACCTCAACGGCGTGGGGCCGACCACCACTGACCCAACGCAAATCCTTGTCTCGAACGTCGGCTCCACGACCCCCACGTCTGGAGCCACAATGGGCATGCGCATCGTGTCCGACTCGGTGTATCAAGCCCACAAGCCGAATCGGAATGGACCCAATGCGAAGGGTTTCTTCGTCCTCAACATTCGCGGCGAGGTGGACACCATCCTCAACTTCACATTCGTCGACGACAACTCGCAGGACCCGGTGACGGTGCCGAATTTCGTGATCTCCATCTACGACTTTGACAGGGGCTGCAGCGGCCAGTCGGCTGGCTTGCGTAACAAAACGTGCGATGGCGGCAGCTTTGATCTCGGCGAGGTTGTGATGGCCAAGAGCTCGACCGCAGACCCCGCGCAAGGCTTTGACGCGTACATCACGTCCGGCGGCACGTCAGAGGTTGAGATTGGCGCCGTCACTGGCGGCTGGACGAGCTTCAGCGCCACACTTGCGGGAAGCGGAGCTGACAACCCTGGTACCGTTCAAGGCCTGACTGAGGACCAGCTGAACAAGGCTGTGAGCCTCTACTACAGCAACACATCGAGCTTTCAGCTTAGAGTCCGCCTGTTCCCTCCCCCCGCCTTCAATGCAACCTTAACCGACACCGGGAGGAACATCTTGCTGTCGGGCGTGGTGTTGGACTTTCCGGGTTGTCCGCCACCTATACCGCCGTCCGCCTCGCCCTCGCCGCCGCCTCCGTCCGCCTCACCATCGCCACCGCCTCCCTCCGCCTCGCCCTCGCCGCCGCCTCCCTCTGCCTCACCATCTCCGCCGCCGCCCTCAGCATCGCCGTCGCCCCCGCCGCCGTCCGTCTCGCCCTCGCCGCCGCCGCCCCCAGCATCGCCGTCACCCCCGCCGGCATCCGTGTCGCCGTCGCCGCCGCCTCCCTCGGCATCGCCCTCGCCCCCGCCGCCGTCCGCCTCACCATCGCCACCGCCTCCGTCCGCCTCGCCCTCGCCGCCGCCTCCTTCCGCCTCGCCGTCGCCGCCGCCTCCGTCCGCGTCGCCCTCGCCGCCGCCTCCCTCCGCCTCTCCCTCCCCGCCACCTCCTTCCGCGTCGCCGTCGCCACCGCCTCCCTCCGCCTCTCCCTCCCCGCCGCTGTCCGCCTCGCCGCCGCCGCTGCCGCCTCTGCCGCCGCCTCCCTCCGCCCTGCCTGCGCCGCCGCCGTCCGCCTCGCCGTCGCCGCCGCCGCCTGACGTGCAGCTGCTCGACCTCCGCGCCGCCACCACGTACCAGGACTCGAGCTTGTTCGACAAGCAGGCGCCCGTGAGCGACCTGTCATTCGCCGACAGCACGACGGGACGGCCGTGGGCCGAGTGCGGCCAATACACAAGCCAATGGTGGGGCGTCGACCTCGGGAGCGAGGTGTATGTGCGCTACGTGCGGCTGCAGAACCGCAACGACTGCTGCCCGGAGCGGCTGACGGACGTCGACATCTATCTCGGCTCGACGGCGGAGACGTACACGGGCAACGCGCTGGTGAAGTGCAGACGTGAGCGTGTTGTCGAACGTGTTCTGCAGTGCATTGCAGCCC